GGGACAGCCGGAATCAAACTCCGGACATGCGCGAGTGCACGCCCGGACAGTTTTCTGGTGATGCATAGTAAAATAAAGAATATTGTCTGGTCTGTCTTGTCTGAACTCAAATTAATCTCTCAGTTGTTTTTATCCAATTCTTCTTTATTCATTTATTTTTGACCACATTTTAACCATCTTATATCTAAACTATTTTTTCAGCCTAGTTACAAGCAAATTAAAAGCAATTGTTCTCTACTTTCATTTTCCAAACCAACCTGTACCAGTCCGGTGAATCTTCAAGTGTCTCTGCCTTCCTCTTAATCTGCCTCATCCATGAGCCTGAGTTCAACAACACAAAAACTAAACAATTGTTTTGGAGGATTATTGTTGATGATATTGACTGGCTGGCCTATTGAACGTCATGAATCAGATCAGGGCTGAATAATAGTAGGTCTCTTCACTGGTGTTTTTACTTGGGAGGTTCTTTGATTTTTCCCCTCCAATACATTGCTACAGTATCCAGCTGGGTTGACTAAGGGAGATTGGGTAGATTGAGTAGTCATTTGGACTTTTTGAGTGTAGAGATGGAGTGATTTTTGATAATTTTGAAGGGGGCAGAGAAAATGATTTTAAGTCTTGGGAAGTTTGGTATATACGGAACTGTGGTCACGTCACCCTTTATCAGCTTTGGTATACATTGGAATGGCTGGCTCTACTAATCTTTTTGGGGGGCGGGTTGGAATGGCCAGTATTGAAAATCAAACCCATGTGAAACCCCTTATCCACATAGTGTCCATGTCACCACCACTGTTGCATCAGTTTTTACTAGCTTTGGGGGGTGGGGGGGAGTTGGAATGGCCAGTATTCACTATCAAACTCATTCATTTTATCTGGTTCACATAGGTTCCACACCAGCAAGTCTAATGGGCTTTGCACTCATTGGAACCAGGCAAATGAGCAGGGAATACTTATGATATAGAACTCAATGAAATCTAAATAATACAACTTTGACACCAGGCAAATACCCCTTGGTATATGGGCTTTTGACACAGAGATAATTTTATAGACTACCAATTGAGAACTTTCATGATCAAACTATCAATCCCACCAAATTAACAAATTAGAAAAACTGATTTCCTACTTGAAGCCAGAATGTGCCTTTTTCTAAGCTAACACACAAAGAATTCTATAAATATGCCAAATGCAAGTTAGTGTAAAGGTTAACATGACTGGCTCATGATCAGTTGTACTAGGTTCAAATCCTGTGCTTGCCATCAGCAGAATTTTTATCTGGAATTTGATGATCACCGATTTACCAATGAAAAAAGGAACTTGATGATTATTGATTTACCAAAAGGAAATAAAAACAAACTAGTAGATTTTCAGAAATTGCCAATTATTCCACCTAGTATACTAATCATGAAAATAACAAAGTGAATCTGAACAAACATCCAAGCTGTTTCAACCCAGTATGTGTTCAGGCATTACTCATGAGCTCTCCTTGGCATTTCATCAATACTCATTCAAAAAAGAAATTTATTTTCTTGGCAATTATTCAGAAGAATAAAAAAAAGAACAACTTCTGGAATTTCATGAAAATATCAAACAACCAAAGAAAACAATGTTAAATTAAATAAGTAGATAATAAAGGCTGCTACTTTTCCAAGACTAAAAAACAAATAGAAAAAAATGATCACCAAAATAATGTGCAGCCTTTTTATAAAAGCCTCTATGGTGATGAATACAAGCATTAGTAAGAGAACAGTTGATCTGGACAGACATACCAAGTCGGCAAAAACCTTGACTAATAGAATGAGGCATAGTACAGTGTGTGTACTTATTGGCTTGCCATATCATCTTGAAAATGCCATTTTGAGGATCAAATTCAATGCCAAATTTATGATCAGGAAAAAAGAAAGGCACAGTAGTAACATCATACCCAGACCCATCTACTAAGGTTCTATCAGAAGAAAAAGTGGGAAGGAATAGAACAAAGGAAAATTGAAATATGTCTTCAGAATATACATGTGGGGGTTGAATATATCATAGATTGTGAATGTGATATGAGGAGAGCAAATGGAGTCTTCAGAAAGTTCACCATAAGAAAGATCAGAGAAGGAAGGCAAGCTATATTTTTTAATGAGGTGTTGTGATTGAGGTTGTAGATTGCTAACTGGGGGATATACAAAGGTGCGGGGACTGGAGATAATCCCCCA